AACTAAAGTTATCATGGTTATCTCATTAGAGGATTGGTGTACTTTAACATTTGTTTTGATGGGCTTAGTAAAGAGGTATATGTGAGCGATTCGTTGGGTGTATAAGGAATCTAATGGAGATAGATAGATAACTAAAAAATGATATGTCATTCCTTATATGCTAAAGGAGTTATCACATTGTACTTCGATGAATGTCTAGTCAAGAATTTATGATCACGATAGAAGTAGCATAGTTGGTTTACTTGAAAACTAAGACATTTGGAGATCGAACAAAACTTATGAGATCATAATTGAACAAACAATAAATGAAGTTTGAGATCATATTGTGATAAATTGACATGAGGATTGAATTATATGAAAATCATACACGTGAAAGGTTATCGTGGATTAAGTAATTCATCTAGATAATTAGGTAGTCATGATACCATGCTACAAGTCAATCTTGATTTATGTATCGACAAATAAAAAAAGTGTCTTTTACTTCTCGATATGTTACTAACATATCTAGAAGCTTATTGAGTCATACATATAAGTTTAAACATTCACATATAAAAAGAGAAGCATAGAATTTTGAAAAAGTTTCTTATTTTGTAAATTAATTTCCTAAAATGGAAATCAGTTTCTTAATTTAGAAATCAGTTTCCTAATTTAGAAGTCACTTACCTATTTTGAAAATCACTTTCCTACTTTAGGTTTAATAAATTACAAGGGTAGCTTGGTAAATTATTTCATAATATGGGCCTCTCTAAAATACCTAACTAGCTTATTTGGTTAGTCTAAATTAATTATCAGGTTATTAAGTCAAAGCAATTTGAGCCAAGCATATTTAAGTGAAAGTCCGTAAGAGGTATTTTCAGTAGAGGGATATTTTGGGAACTTAAAGCAAAATTCATTAAACCTAATTTAGGGTTTATAAGCATAAGATCAAACAAAATCACGTAAGTTGCAACTCTTTGACTAAATGGGAAGCTATATATATATATATATATATATATATATATATATATGAGAGAGAGAGAGAGAGAGAGACGTGATGAAGTTAAAACGAAAAGTAGTAAAATGCAAGAAACTAAACAAAAAGAAAATTATGTATATCTCCCTAAAAGAAAAGTTGTGTGACTTCCTTTAGTGATTTTTGTGAGAAAAATATATATAGTAGCAAAATTGGAGCTAGCACTTTAGGATTTATGTCGCTTCTTATTAGGTGTTTTTACTTCATTAATCATCACTAGAGATGAATACTTAGACAATTTAATTTGCAATTAGAATCTATAATGCAAGTAGCAACATTTAATACATCTTGTTAATATATAGTTAGTTGATTCAACGGTTGATCTTGAGACTTTAGATGGAGGAGAACAAAAGTTTTGTTTATTCCGCACCTCCATAGGATGCATGATTCTTTAATATATTTACCCTTCCGAAGCCTTTAAAATTTGTTCCTTCAAGTAATGACATATTCGCTCTTCTAGAGTTCAAGTAATAATATATTAGTTATTCTAAAGCCTTCAAAATTTATCTATTTAGGTAACAATATATTCTTTATTCCGCAGCCTTCAAAATTTGTTTCTTCATGCAATATAGTTGCTCTTCTGGAGCTTTCTATGAGATTGATACTATCAAATATAATATTAACTTAAAATAAATAAATAAATAATTATATTATTCATAAAAATAAATAAATAACAAAATACTTTTATAACTATTATTATGCAATAAAAATTATAAGAAAATATAAAATATCTTATTTATAAATAAAAAAGTTAAGTTATTAATTTTAATTATCATCATTTTGATATATAAAAGCGACTTCTATATTTTACTATTTCTTTTCAATGTTGCTCGATAAAGCTCAACGAGGAGTTTCGACATACAACATATACGTGATCAATGTCTCTTTATATGATTTAATTTTTTTTATTTGTTTTATTTTTTTTATAGTTTGCCCATTTCTTGTGGTAAGATATATTATTATGATCATTATAGTTTGTCCACATCCGGTAGTAAAGTGTATTATTATGACTATTATCGTTTGTCTACTTCTTGTGATAAGGTGTATTATTATGAACAGTATGATTATACGATAATTATTTCAACCACGATAATGGTTATGACCACGATCATATTTATATCCGAATTATCATAAGTTGTCATGTTCACTTTAAGAAATGGACTAGAACCAGTTGGATAAAATTCATGATTTTTCATTAATAGCTCATTATTTTGTTCAAAAATATGAAATCAATTAAGAATATTTTTAAAATTTTTTTCTTGATATTGCTACCGTAGGAGCATATTCGAAACATGAAAAGTAGAGAATATTTTCTCAAAATCAAGCACTCATCATCAATAATTATTGTTCGTAATATCAAAGGCCATAAATCAAGTTTATGAGGTTTGATATGATAAAAATTCTATAATGCAATATATAATAATAATGTTAGAAAATAAGAACAAACATAACAATAAAATTAAAGTTTTTCAAACAATATACATGAGATCATTAAAAATTATACATTACATCATTCAATTTTTTCAAACGTACATTCTACGTATCATTAAATTTAAAGTAAATGATAAATTAGATACATACCTCTTGATGATCTAGATAATTTAGATTTTTTTGGTAGAACACTTTTGTGGAAAATCTAATGATGGAAACAAATAATTGTGTTTTTTGATAGATATATACCTCATGGTCTATTATCTCAATTAGTTAAAACTTCATGATGATAATATGTTATGAAAGAAATGATAATAGAATTGAAGAAAAAGATAATAGAAGAATGAATTTCACTATAAAATAAAATGAACACAAGAGATAATAACTCCAAATAATTCTCTCAATCTCTACAAAACACTTCTACTTAAACTAATGAAGAATCAAATTTATTTATCGGCTTTAAAATTTAAAAGAGAATTAGAAAATGACGATGAACCATTCAAAGATGCATAAATAATTAAATAAATTACATTCCTTTTTTAATCTCTTATCAAATGGTGAATTTAATTACATGAATAGAGAGAATATGAAATGATTATAGATATTCATTATTTCATAATAAGAATATCAATTTTATTTTATTGTTCAGGTTTTGAGTTGGCTGCAGTGAGATAGGATTTTCCATAATTTAAATAGTGTGTAGATGGACAAATGGTGCATGGAAGACAAGATAGAATCATAATAAACACGCAAGATTAGAATAATCTTGAAATTTAAAAACGTTTATGAGGATAATTTTGGAAAATAAACCGACTCTATCACGTCCCTCTCGTGTCCCTTAAATTTAGCCAAGTTTCGTCCATCCACTGGACACCACAAGATCGTCTCTATCTCTACCAGTGTCGTACATCAATCCAAACTACCTAAGAAACTCTGCCATCTGTGTTGAGGGATCGCTTAACCATTGACTTTGTTATCCAGCTTTAGGTGAAGTCCCAATATACCCAGTCTTCGGCCTGCTATCAATGCCCAAGAAATGATGAGGTATGCGTTCCTATTCAAGAGAGTTTTCCACATGAAAGACCATAATTTTGCTCCACATTCAGGGTCTCCAAAAACAGAGCTCCATTTTTTCTGCATAAAATCTGCAGCGCGCGCACAATTTCGCTATATAGTGTAAATGCTATGTAAAAATTCATCATATAATCTCTTCCACTCACTCATAGAAGATTATAATCCATCTCCGTACAAAACGAGTTTAGTGACATTCAGCTGTAGTACCAACCGTAACCCAGTTGTGCCGTCAGGAATTTGAGGGATTGCCCTAATAGCAATAGCAATAACTCTTACTTTCTTCCCCTTATTGTGGGAAAAATAATTCACCCGACCTCAAAATGTCTAAACCGATTGCATTGAGGGCTCTCCCTTGCCATTCTGTACAGTCTATCTATGCAACACATTCCTTCTACCAACCAATTTCTAGCTTATCATTCACAAGTTCTGTAAGCAAATCCTGGGTCATAATCAATCTTGAGCCGACATGCACCATCTATGCAACAGGTTTCAAACCTTCCAGTGCGCAATGTAATTAAGACCATGTCAACCGAAGACAAAATCATCAAAGGCATATATATACAAACCCTCACCTGACAAGAGTTAATTGAGTTTTAAAGGCTTTTCCACAGAACCATATATGATATGAAAAACAATGCCTGCCCCTGCAAAGCCTCCAATAGCCTCCCATCCATGTCCTCTTCCCAGCTTAATGGAGAGTTAGCTATAATAGCTGTTAGCATGGAAGATATAACAAAAAACAAAACAAAAACAATTGCATTTGCAGGCTTATTCTAATTGAAACTGGGCATACAGAAGGGTTTTAGAGTGGAGAAAGGAAAAGGGAAGGGCAAATATAATTAAGCCAAAAGCCCTATTAGCAGTTTCCAAGCTGAAAGTCTTTTTTATCTGCCACTCGGTAACATACCATTGCTTGCAACAATAGTGGTGACAAGTGACAACACTCGAAAAATAATTTTCCCATTTTCATCCATCTTGATCATTAGAGTTGTATCCATAAAGCAGTTCTCAAACAATAAAAATACATGCCACATTATCTACTGGTGAAAGAATATAAGAGAATAAAACCCCCCACAAAGCCATTTTGCTGAGCCAATGAAATCAACAGCCATTTAAAGAATTAAGTGGGAAGCTAGATATCGTTTCTAGGAGAAAAGACCCCCGCATTCATTTACATATACACATTTACAAAAATGGAAAATGCAAAATTAATATAGAAATTTATTAACTGACCTCTCAATTGAATTGGTTAGTGTAACTACCCATGCCATATGAGATTATTAACTGATGCTATCATAATCATGTGCTTTGACCAAAAAGGAGTGGAGAACTCCGAGCCAGTTCAGGAGCAAAGCTCACTTTTCATTCTATGCACACAAGCTTCTGCAAGCTCTAGGCTCTCAATGGAATTCAAACACCCAAACGTCAGTCTCACTGGAGAGAAATAGTAGTAGAGCAATGGAAATCCCATGTCAATATACTTCTACCAATCATCAAGCCATTCAGGGACATTAAGATCGTCTACATCTTGAGATGGAGAAGCTAGAGGAGCAGTGCATTCCTGAGAGCGACTTTCCAAATGTTGGGTAACCCGAGAGGCTATTTCAGAAGGAACAGGAAGGCTTCTATCTCTAATCCCTTTCCAGTCAACAGCATCAAACCATGGATGATTTTTTATAGAGTCAGGTCCTACGTTTCCAAGTCTTGAACTTTCATCAACTTCAAGCAACTGAAGAGATTTATACACAAGTAAGAAAATGATAGCTTTAACCATTTACTGCATGAAAAAACTAAACAGTTTCAACAAGACCTGGGTGATGAGCTCAATAGCTTCAGGGCTGAAATTAGAAGGAAGATTTAGCTGTCGTTTCACAATCTTTGCATATATATCAAGCTCACTCTCTCTCCATGATCCAAATGGCTTTTCACCTTGTAGCATGAAATAGATCAAGACTCCCAATGCCCACCTGCACAACCACTGACAAAAGTTAAAAACTGCTGCAGACCTTTCAATCAAACTTTAAAAGAAATGAAAGAAACAGTATCATCATAAACAGCAGGCATGGTTGGGACAAGCAAGCCTTCAATTACCCATTTATTATAAACTGAACTTTTAATATGTAAAGGTTAAATAGTGCTCATGAGAAGAGCAGAGCTCCTCTTTTCCCATCTGTTTCTCACTCATGCACATGCTTACATTGAACACAAATATATTCGGATAGTAAGATATGCCTACTTAAAATCTTTTTGAACTTCAAGCTCCATTGTAGTATTGGATGCCATGTGCATATCAATTAGATGAATAATGAGTGCTAATCAATAATTTAAAAACCATCATTTTCTGGGCATACTGAATTCTAGTTTCCTATTTTCATAAACGATCTTTATATAGAGCGGTGAGTTTCAGGTAATAACTCGCTCTTCCTGAAAACACAAAGTGATAGCTTAACTCAGACTTAAGTAAAAAACTACCGATAATTCATTCACAAAATTTTCAAAAAATAAATAAAGACATATTGTATGTGCTCACATGCAATAATCCCCATGCCTACGTCTAGTAATAGCAGCTAACCTGAACATATAACCAAATTAAGTTTAAACAAAAATAATGCACTCTGCTTCTAAATGGAGTTAACCTTAGCCCTGTTTAATTTTAATTTAAATGATCAAATATGTTCGCTTTTAGTAACAGAAGAGCAACGAGCAGACAGAGGCAATGCATAACAGATTCCTTTTGGATGCTAAATAATGCAGTTGCTATATATAAACAAAAGTTCTATTTTAGGTTTAAAATGATACCAGTCAGCAGGGAGACCATGCCCCTTCCCCTGAACTATCTCTGGAGCTAAAGAGTCTGCCATTCCACAAATTGTAAATGTTCTTTCACCAGACAACTTCTTTCCAAACCTGAAGTCTACTAGCTATAAGACAACAAAATAAAAAAAGTTGAGCATTATTCACGAAACTCACCTTCCTTCATGAGTAATAGGAGAAGTTAAGTTATCACTGTTAAGTAGCTTGACACTGATTTGAATATCTAAGAACATGATACCAAGTAAAGCATAATCCAGAACCAACCTGTATATATCCTGTTCGGTCCAACATTAAGACCTCAGGAGACACCCCTCTGTAGAGAATGCCATTCTGAAAACAAGTGAAACACAGATTAAGAGTAAAATACTGTAATGAACATATCCGAATAGCAACATCAGGTAAAAAACTTTATTAACCATATCTGAACAGCAACATCAGGAATTCAACACAAAAATGAAGTAACGCTTCTAGACGACAAACCTTGTGCAAATCTTCCAAGGCAATAACAACAGAGGCAGCACAAAACCGTGCAGATGGTTCATCAAGTGCTGTGTGAAGTATTGAAGCCAATGGGCAGGCAAGGAATGCATTTAGCAATATGGCAGCATGTGATCTATCTGCAGAAGTACATAGAATCTCAGGCACAAAGGCCAAAGTACCCGCACTCTTCATAATATATTTCTCTTTCAAAACTTGTTCCTCCTTTCCCAGAATCTTGATCTTCTGCTTCGAAAACCTTTTCAAACTAAGCAAATTTTCTGAAGAACAAAACGAAGAAGCATGCATAAGCATCTGCTTGATTCCCATAAAAAAAACACCCATAGAGCATATGATATTCATCGCCCCATTTCCATGCAAGCATATATAATAAAAAAGGTTGGAAAAGAGGGCATCTGTCAAATTTCCTTAATGCTAAATTAAAGAGAACCAAAAGTTTGAAGATATTACAAAAACCCCATTTTGTGTCCAAAATGTCCTTGCTGTTAAAGGGGTTTTAAAAATAGTAAACGACATTTTGGTACAAAAGGGGAGGTTTTCTTGAGAATGTAGGGGATTTCTATCAAATCTCAAACTTTTGGGTGGCCTTTGTAATTTCACAATACCTTAAAAACAGAAGGGCCAAGACCTTATGGAAAAAGAAAATGGTGCTGTATGCTAAAAACTACAGATGAATAGTGCGACCAACCTGAGTCCCTCAAATTTACAAGCCCAACCTCACTGTAGTCAGTGGAATATAAAGAATGCCTCCACTCCTATACAGAGAACATCATTAGAATATGTCGGAAAAAGATCTCTATTAAGTATTAAATAGGCAGCACAACAACAGACAGTATAGAACACCTCTCACCAGATCAGATAGCTGAACTTTAAAAGGAGCTGCAATATTGGTAATTTCAGCAGATTCCTTGGAAAAATCCGAAGAAGAGCTCCTTGACCTAAATGTTGTTGATTAAAGAAGGGACATGAAAAACATTTCCTTAGGAATAAATTGATCCAGAGAGAGAGAATATGAATGTCAATTAAGAAAAAGGATTTCTTTCAGTTAATCCTATAAGGTAGATCCAAGAGAAGTTTGGTAATTTCTCATGTAAATCTTTCCTTACTAAGATTGACCAGACTCCTGATTTTTTCTTATTTCTCCCGGGACAACTTCATGTAGAAAGCTAAGGTTCCGTCCAAAATTTAGGCATTCATTTTGTTCTCAACAAAATCAACACATAAGATGCTAAAGGCAAGGAGAAACTAAGAAATCTCTCTTGATGTGTGGGTGATGTGCTTTATTAATGGTGAGACATAGAGCCACCTTTATATGCATTGTCCTATAACATGGAACATGAGGAGTAGGCTTTCTTGGCTAAGAGAAAGTTGGATGATTTTAAGGAGGAGGGTGGAGAAGCAGATTCTGAACACTCAGATAGGTTTGTGAGAGGATAGGACAACAAACATAATGGAAATGTGCAATTTTCTCTGTAGCTTGGTGTTTATGGACAGAAAGGAATTCAAGAACCCTCGAAGATCGAGCTCTGTCAAAGAAGCTATTATGGAATTTTTTATTTTATTTTATTTTTTTCTTTTTGTTGAGCTTCTTTATGGTGCTCTGCAGTAGGAGCATTCTCAGAGTTTCTCACTCTGATATGCAGAGGAATTAGAATGCTCTTAATTTTAATACATTTTCTTTAGTGCTTTTTTCTTTTTCTTTTTTTACATGGAGGAGCCTTATCCTTAATCCATCCATGCTTTACTTAAGAGAGAGAGAGAGAGAGAGAGAGAGAGAGAGAGGTCTAATGACGAGTGAAAAAGGAACATAATGCTGGAACAAATGGCCTAAAATTGCATTCATGGAACTTAAACTAGAGTTAATGGTAAGACATCAAATAAAGCACTCCATAGTTGAGATTATAACGTACTTTTCATCTCCCTTGGAAAGCTTTGCCAAAGGGCCAACAACTGAATCAAATTTCTCCTTTGTCAAGACAGAGCATATGCATTCACCAACAGCAACTGCGCTTATAGAATCAAAATGTTCACCAAGAAGTTCCCATTCACCGAAATAGCTTCCCTCTTTCTTCTCTAAGGAGACCTTGTTACCAAAGTGTAAATAATCATCCTCCTTTTGACTTTCAGACTTCAGACTTCCAACATTTGGACAACTTAATAAGTCCACGTCAAAAGTAATTGCCACTTCTCCTTTTTGGACGATGTGTAAGCCAGAGAGTTCCTCATTCTGCAAATACATGTTGAAGAAACACAAATCAAAATGAAACCAGTATGAGAAACATTTTTAAGCAAGCAAGTTTTTACCGCATCAACAATGGTTTGGCCATTTGAGAAGGAAACTTCAGAAAGAGAATCTGCAATATGACTAAGCTGCAAGATTGTCAATCGAGAAAGCAAATCCACAGAACGAAGCAACTTCAGGGATGACAGATTAGAAAATTTCGACATCAGAATTCCTCGAAAATCCTCTCTTTTTAGAGCCCACAGCGTTCCACTCGTGACAGCACGAACAGAGGCCTGGAGAGGCTTATTGTACCTGCATAGCCACATGTAAAGAATATTATCATTTAAAGAATATATAAAGAAGTAAAGCCAGTTTAATCCATTGGGAAAAAGCATTGACAAATTCACTTACAATACTCACATCACACATATACACAAATAAGAACATGGGAAGAGTTCGGCTTACAAAGTGTTTGTAATATATAATTATAAGTTTTCTAATTGTTTGTAACATAGTTTTAGAAGTTCAGAATCATGAAGCAGACTAAGATCAATTACTTGTGAACCTGTTCAGTTGAATTCCATTTTTTTTATTCTGCTTATGAAAGAAAATCGATGTTTTGCAAAAACAGAAAAAGCTTGGAGCAGGAGGAAGGAAAAAAAAGCAATAGAATTAAAACTCACATCAACGCCAGCTCTCCAAAAGATGATAACTTGTCCGCTGTATAGCACTGCAGAACCCTAGGCACCTCTCCATCTTTCTCTTCCTGCCATCACATAGTCTGATCAACAACCAAGCCATGGCCCTTACTCATCACAAAAGAAAGATAAGATGACAGCTTAAACAAGCAATAGAAAGCCAAACCTGCGTCGCCAACACCTCAAATTCTCCACTGCCAACAACATAAAAGCAATCACCTTCACCACCCTGCCAATCATAAAAAATCATTAAAGTTCTACAGTTACAACAAAACTCAACCCAGATTGGCATTCAGGAAGAAATTCCTTAGTTCTTGCATATGGAAGTTGCATTTATGTTCAAACATGTAAACATAAGCTCGTTATCAAATAGCAATTACCTACTTCGTTTGCAATTACCTACTCTTATAAAAATGTGCAAGGAAGGCTGGCAGGCAGCTCTCTGTTTCAAGCATTCAAAATTTTCTAGGGTAGGTTGTTCATTTAAATGCTTTGTTCACTAAGTTTACAATGTTAACCAGGCATTGCAAATGCTTTCAGGTTCATAGCTTCTTTCCATTAAGACATTCTTACATTTTATAGCATGTCTAATAGAGTGCAACAGCATGTAATATAATGCAATGGAAGAAGGAAATGGTCAAGAGATGATGACCATTACATTCCATTACACCAAACAATTACTTCGTGTTGCAAAACAAAAATTACGGTGGTCATATATTCTTCTATCGTAGTTCTGAACCGTGAACTATGCATACTAACACATTTGGTCAGCAAAAAAAGTGTAAAAGTTTAGCTCCAAAATAAAAGAGGAAATGAGAAAACAAACTAACCTGTTTAACAATGATTTCTCCCGGCTGAACTTCAACTCTTTGCATGCAATCCAATAGAACATGACACTGAGAATCAGTAAGCTTTCGGAAGAGGAAATGGTCATGCAATGCTCTCTCAATGTGTGCCTGAGGCATATAAATAAATAACAACTTAACAACTATGAATATTCCAAGTGGAGACTCCCAACGAAAATTTTTGTATCACTTCTCGTTTACACAAGTTCACTCCAAATGCAAAAGTAGATAGCATATAAGAGAGTATTTACCTCTTCTTCCCAAGTTTTCCTATGGGCTGGAGATGGAGGAACCCAGAGCTGCCCATTATCAAGTGAACTCTCAATGGCACGGAGGCGTGCCCGTGACAAATCATGCCTCACACGATGGGTCCTTGCATTCCAACTAAAGTTTGCAGGAGATTCTGATCCTGTTACCTCAACAACTTGAGGAACAGGTGGTCGTAAAGCCCCCGAACTTATTGTAGATTGGCTAACAGAACTCTGACAACAGAAAAAGAAAAGGAAAAAAAAACAAATTGAAGAGTTCAGAAACAATGAGTACGAAAAAGAGAATTAAATTGATATAAGCTGAGGTCCACATACCTCGGCTAGACCATTAATATGAACAACGATCACCGTGATATCATCTGTCCGAGTTTCATATTGCAGCCAAAGTCGATATGATTCAGCCACGATTGCAGCACAAGCATCACGTGGATCTTTATATTTTGCAACCTGGAGATGTAGAAGAAGAATAAGGAACCAACAGCGTTTTCATAAATAGATAAATAAAACATAACTTTGCTTGCTGGAGGAATCACATTTTTATGGCTTCAGGTTTATTAAAAAGCCAATAAGGATATGGAAATCATGCTTCTTATCTGCCGTCTTTTTGTATCTTTATAAACCATAACTGCCAATAACCAATTTTGATGGTTGTCTTGTTTTGCAAAAGGTAAACTATTAACTAACTTGTACAAATCAATTAAATCCCAAAAAAAGAAAAAAAGGAAGATAAAAAAGAGAGAGAAAGAGAAGAAAGATACCTTACCATGTCAACCACGGTTTGACTAGACAAAAACTCAAAAACTCCATCACTAGCAAGCACAAAAAAAGGATGCTGAGGTCCAAGTTCCAGAACAACAATCTCAGGATTAGGCACAACACCAATACTCTCAGCGATCGAATCTCCAACACTCCTAGTAAATGCTGTCCCTGGATACATCCCATTCGGGACCCACAGTCTCGGCGGATCACCATCATCACCCTCTTCATTTCCCCAACACTGAACATCAGGATTTTTTAACCCTTCAATCTGATCCAATGTAAGCACTCTAGCTCCACATAGTTTAACTCTCTCAAGCTCATCAACTCGAAACGGAGTCTGATCAATGGATAAATCAACTGCAACAATATCATCCCCTCTTTTCTCGGCTATAACAGCTCGAGAATCACCCGAATTGGCCACATAAATCGTCCTCCCTCTAACCAAAACAGTTATAGCAGTAGTCCCACTCATAGTATCATCTAAACTATCGGCGTGTAACTGCGAATTCGTACTCAAAAACGCAGAATGACAAGCTTCAACAGCATCCACACGAAACTTGCCATTCCGTAACAGATTTTCGCACAATTTTCGCTTAACAAACTGCGAACATTGAGCACCGAACTCACCGTGTCCATCAAAAACACCAAAGAAATGATCATCTGAACTTGTACCAAACGGAGTGTGAATGCAGAAACTATCCTGATTGGCTTTATCTAAGGCATCAGGATAGTATCCTCGCTGCGAAAGATATGAATATTTTAATTCGTAGTTTGCTGAAGGGATTTTGACGATTCTAGATCCATCAGGAGGGAGGAACTGAGAGGAGACACGCGAGAGTCTGGTAATGCCTAAGTCGTGGTTGTTTAATCGGTTGATTTGGTCACGTGTTTCAGATTCGAGTGATGAAGATGAGGAAGCAGCAGGAGAGAAGACTGGAATATCTGTCAAGACTCTTGCATTTTGTGTGCTTTCTTGGCGGTTTTGGTTTTTAGTTTTAAGGTCTTTCGGTATGCAGACCTCGCCGATACAGGATCGTGAGTATACGCAACCCATTACTGAAGATTCATCGGCTTTTGATTTTTTTCAAAAAAAAAAAATATTATTCTCGATCTGGAATCGGCGAGGAAGGAGAAACAACCGTTACAGAAACGGAAAGAGAGAGAGAGAAATGGATTGATTATTATTTATTGCATGGAGTACAATAATAATAATAATGAAAAGAGAGAAAGTAAAGTAGTGACTAGTGAGTGGTCGTAAAAAGGAAATGCTACCAAACAAGGAGAAAACTGAGTTGCAGGGACAGGACATCGGCAGCGATCACTGATCAGTCATTCATCACTGCTTTCTTTTTCCTTTTTCTTCTTTTTTTAATTGGATAGGGCTGCGTATTTTAGCTGAAGGGGTGTGTGTGGAAGGCTGCAGGGTGCGTGATGCGCTTAAGGTGTTTGGTTTGGGTTCCTTTCTGATTCTAATTGAAGAAAGAGAGCCAGAGGAATGGTTTTTAAAGGCAGTTTTTCATCCATAGATTATCCTAGTTTTTCATATTGATCCTTATACTATAAAAGTGTACAATTAAATTAATTTACGTGACAATGTGCATCCTTTGCTCAATTTTCAAATTTTGAATTCTCAAGTTATCGCTCATGAATTTTTTTAAAAAAAAATTCTAAAGAGTTGATAAATAAAAAATAAGTTGGTTGTCAGCATTTATCAAAATTAACTCCATTTTTTGCGATACGTATAAAAATATGTTATTGATGTGAGGTAAAGAAGAATAGTGTTTATATCATTCCTGGGTGCAGCTAACTCTCAATGGGTAACTTTCATCGAATTAATAATCAAACTTAAAAAAAGAAAAGTAAAGAATGCTGTAAATTGTCAAGGAAAGTGAAATTAAGAAATGAATTGCATATATTTATAGTACAGGGATGAAAGTTATAGAGACAGCATAGTATTAAGAGGAAAAGTGCCATATAAAACCGGAATGGACGTGCAAAACGCGTATTACAGGAGGAGGGGACTGATGAATGAATGACACGACGTTGATTTTGATGTTGTGTGGGTTTGTGTGGATTAGGCTTTATAGAGTTTTCGAGGCGGAGACGCATCAGTGCATGTGTCATGTGTGGATAGTCAGTTAGGGGTTTGTCTCGCAGCCCTTTATTTTTATTTTTATTTTTATTTTTATGGGGGTCAGGTCATGTCCCACGCGCTGAATTATATTAGCTTGTGTATGCATTTACCAAAGGGAAAAAGTGGGTTGAATTTGTTTTTTTTTTTTTTTCCTGTTATTTTCTGCTTTGTCACCTTGGTAGGAAAGGATCAATAGATTAATGGATGGCTAGTTTGCTTTGCTTAAGAGATTATTATAAAGCAATTTCTTTATTGAAAAGTATGGAATAGGTTAAAAATGTCCACTAATAAAAGTTCCATGCTCCGAATGCCATCACCTTTTCCTATGATTTTAATCCCAAACTTTTCTTTCCAGAAATAACATCCATTGACCGTAAAAATTTAGGTGATAGATAGGTTTGTTTTTTTTCAAAATGTCGCCTGATTGTATTTTGGAAAAGGTTATAGGAAGAAATAATTTGTATCGGTTAAGATCCATAAAAATAATTTAATTTCCATGTTCGAAAACCAGCTAGATCACATACAAAAGAAAAATTCATACCATTAAAATAAATAAACAATAGCGAGATGAAATTGAGTTTGATTTATCATTATTGGCACTCCTAAGAAGAGCACAAAACGATTTGGCTTCTTCACCATTGTTGCCAAATCTCGAGTGAATTTGAAGGGCAAGATGATCACATAGAATCAATGATCGCCTACCAAATAACAATAGCGTATAAATTGCGTTGCCTTATCATTAGTGAATGAGTTACTATAGCTGTCAGTTAGCGAGGAATGTTTTTTCCACGACACCCCAAAAACTAGAAGAAAGAAAAAGAAGGCAGCAGGGTGTGTGACTTAGATTGCTCTATGCCCGTGTATCTCTATCTACCATACAGTAAGCAAAGCAATCATTCAAGTTTGTGCTTTTATCGACTGCGACTGCCTTCAATGTACTGGCCCATTGCCCAAACAACATAGAGCCCGCAATGGATTCAGAGCGCCACCCACGTTCCCTCATTATCACCTCACTTTTTTCAAGTGGTCCTTTTGCTACGCCATGCCATGTATATAATATAGGATTAGTTTGGATATTAAGAATGAAAATTCCAAAATAAAAATATGCGGAATCGAAATAAAAAAAAGAAAATGGAATCATATTTATATTTTTATATTATATTTGAAATACTAATGAAAAATCAAAATGTAATTTAAAATTTTTAATATTTTATTTTTTATACAAATAAAAATAATAATTAAAAAAATAATTTTATCAAACTATAATGATTGTAAAAATAATAAAGTTCATAGTGGTGGTGATGGTGGTTATAGCAGTGGTGGTAATGCTAGTTCCAGTGGTGGTGGTGGTGATGGTTGTGATGGTGGTGATGATAAAAATAGTTAATAGGCAATAAATAAATAAAGTATATTATTATTTTGAAAAAAAAATTATTTTCATTCCTTATTTTTATTCTCACATCTTATATAGGAATGCGATTGTATGTAAATTTCCATTCTCATTCTCGTTCCCACTTTATTTCTTTTAACCAAACAACTACAACGTGGAAATAAAACTTTCATTCTCATTCTCAAGCACTCCATTTCGACTATCAAATAGCACCTAGAATATACAAAACTAGTTGCTTGTCTTTTGTCCCGTAATCGGGCATAATATATAAAATTATTTAAAAAGATTATTCTAATTTGATGATCATTGTCATGCTATAAGTCTAATAAAATATATTATAATTAAAAAAATTCACTTAATTTTATAATTTTTAAAACAAAATTTTGTATGTAATTAATTATTACTTACGTTCATTATAATGGATTTCCTTTTTTTTTTTTTAATGACTTGTTTTTCTTCATGAATGAATTCTTGAGTAAAAATTTATAATAATCTAAATAGTAAATTTCAATTAATCACAAACAAAAAAAAACAACTACAAATTTAATTTTTATAAGATTATATCAAAAAAAATAAAGCAACAATTAATGTAAAAAATATTGTATGAAAATTTAAAATAAAATTTTATCCTTATTGAATATTAATGAGAAAATTAGTTTTTGAAAGTGTGTGCACTCTATATATATATATATATATATATCCAAAATAGTCAATAATATTAGCATAAAAATATTTATTCGAAAAGTATGGTATCATTGCAAGTTTTTTAAATATGATTTTAATTATTTTATTTTATAAAAATTGATTTCAAAACATATAATTTTTCGATAGTAAATGTTCAATGTGTTGTGTGCATATGCTTAATTAATTTCCAATAAAAATTCTTATAAAATCAATTTTAATGGAATTTGATTATGTAAAAAACAAGTAAATAAAACGCATGAATTTTTCTTTCTTAACAAATATTTTTGTTTATGATCCATAAATACTTGGTCCCCTCACACCGGCCTCACAATTATAACAATCATTTCCCATTTTTTCCACTTTTTGCTTTTAATCAATTAATTATTTTCAATTTTTTTCAAAAACTCGAAAAAAAGAAATTCTATAATACCCTTTTAACCTTTAGATCAAATATATATATAATCATGATAATCTCACTTAAAAATTATAAGAATATATTATATAAACTATTTTTTTAATAAAATAAAATATCCATATTCATAAAATTTATTCTAAAATCCAAATATAGTGAAAAATAAATCATCTTTGTAAATAAATAAAATTTAATTAAAAAAGAAAAAAATTAATTGGATGAAAATTTTCATAAGAAAGACAAATTAAATAGACAAATTTCAAATAATAAGAGTAATGTAATTTTAAATATATGTGAAGTCTAAAATACGAAAATACATCATTGATATTCTTCCTTGTTAGTTTTAGAAAACTCAAAAAATAATTATCAGTATTTCAAACTTCAAAAAAAAAAAAAAATCAAATAATAAACAATGACCTAAAAAGAAAAAAAAAATGGCTCTATGTGTGCTTGGTGTGCGCTCTTGGGCTTGTATAATCAAGCTGACGCGTGCATTAGTTGGACCTGCACAGACCAGCTCTTTTTTTAAGTGAAAAATGGCAGACGATGTATCGATTACGCAATGAACAGAAGAGGATGCAACTGCAACTTCTAGCGAAGTTATGATTGCTGAAAATCTCGTTGGAAAATTAAGGCACTAGTTCTCAACCTTCTAATACCAATTTTAAAGACCTTAAAATCACTGAAATTAAAAATTAAAAAAAAAGACTTGTATGGAATCTTGAAACTCATTTGCATACCCCTAAAAAACTCAAAAGTCCAAATCAAATTCAAAAACTTAAAAATATTTTGAGATTTTAATCTCTTTCCTTTGACTATTTCATGTCTTTGTACTATCATAAACAAACTCTTCTCTCCAATAGAACAAATCAAAACCAAAATCGACGATCAAAGTTGTCAGAATAGATCTTGTCATGGTTCCCCTCTCTTCCCTTGTCTCTTTTAATTTCTTTCTACATCTAGAAACCAAAATACGATATAAATAAAGTTAAAATTTGAAATAAATATTTTAAAAAAATTAAAGATCAAAATGCAATATTTGTCAAAATTTGCATATCAAATGCTTGAACAAAAGTTGAAAATAAAAAAAAATCCCATATCAAATGGCTAAATGAAAAAAAAAAAAAGTCATATCAAATAGCTAAATAAAGCCCAAAAATCATAATAATGCCATATAATACAATAATACTAAGTGAATAGTATTTATGAATGTAGATGAATAGCAAGTGACTAGAAAATGGGTATAGATAAATAGTATGTGAATAGTAAATATCTCACTTTTTTCGATTTTGCTATGACCTCTTTGTGTTCTAACTTCTTTAGGAGTGCTTGTTTAATTGTGATAATAAGGCTTTTTTTTTTTTTTTGGTGGTAGAAATGAATGAAATAATAGGAATAGAGTAAGACGTTTTTTGTCGAAATAAATGAAATAAGAGGAATAGAATTGTGAAAATGGGAATGGAATAACGGGACCAAAAATGAAATTTTTTTTTTACCTTATAGGTGTATGGTTGACATGAATGAAGTGGAATTGTAAATGAAAAGCAAAAATGAGAATGAAAAATAAACATAGTTTTATTTTCATGAGGAGGTGATAATAAAAACGATGAATAAGAATGAGATTCTTTTTTTCTTCAAAATAATATTTTGATATGTTTATTTATTATGTACCAATTACTTCTACCATCTTTACAATTGCCATCACTACCGTCCGCATTGGCAATGGTAATAAAAAAAATTTTAAAAAAATATTATTACTTTTTTGTCATCACTCTTCCTCCGACACTACCACCACTTTTATTATATTACCACCGCCATCATTTTTTTCCAAAGCTAAAAGCCCAAAACCTTCAACCTTTTTTTTTTTTTTTTTCCTAAATGGGAGTGCTCAGAGCACCTCATCTTGTCATTTTTTCGTTGCTCATTCCTGTTAGGCTAAAGTATTTGGAATTTTTTTTTATATGCTTGTTACTGCTTGGCTGACCTATCAAATGGTAAAGAGAAGAAAGTACAAAAAATAGTAAATAAAGCACATTATAGAAAGATCATAAATACAAGGAGTCCTTTTTAAATTCGAGAAGAATATAAACAAAATGAAATAAGGCATTTCTAGCTCCAGTTTCGGGTGAGCTTGTCTAAATTTTATAAAATAAGGTGATTTCCTCTAACCAAGACTACATTTTTTTCCCTGCCTATGGATGGCATAAATTATTTTTAAAATATATTATTGATATTACTATACAACTACTTCTACCACCACCTCCTCCACCACCACTACTATTATCACCACAATCACCTCTATTATTTTTACAACTATCATAGTTGATGAAATTATTTTTCACTCATTATTCTTATTAAAATCAGATATTAAAAATTTGAATTTTATTTAAATTTTTTTTTACTATTCTAAATACAA